GTTATCTGATGTATTACTACAGTATTTTACTGTCTCAGCATCAAATCAAGAATAAAGAATATAGAAGTAAAATTGTTCACTTAATCAGAAGTATCAGCATATCCATTTAATAATTTTGCAATGTGCATTTTAAGTCTCAAAAAAATAGATATTTTTCTATTTACTTATCTTTCTCAATCTTCACATTGAAGCATTACAGTGCTAATATAGTCGCAGCTAAAACACTCATTTGGTATTCTCTCAATGAACAAATTCTGAAACAAGAAACTCTCTTTAATTATACATTATTTTTCATTGGTTTCTTGTACCAAGGAAGCAGTCAAGTCAGTCTTTACATTCACAACTTCACGTTTCACAGAATTCTACCCAACAAGTAAACTCGTACACGGAAAAAGCGTTTTAAAAGTGCAAAGCAACKTCTTTGGTTTTCTTTATTTCATAGCAGTTCCTATGCTATAGATAGGGTCATTCTGAACTATCAAAAAGCAGTCCATACAAGTAATGTCCAGCAGAATGGGAAGAGCTTTGGTGCTGAGGCTCAGGGCTAGCAAATGATAATCTGTGGTTCTGCCCCCTGTCAAAAAACAAAAATGAGAAAGGAGTGGGAGAACTCACAGTGAATGTGGAAGAACTATACTGTGAGGAGACCTGAGCACATTTACCAGACTAAGTCAATCTTTGATGGGCAGTAATCATGCAGCAGACACAGGACTTAATATCTTTTAAAAAAGTTGACAGATTTCTGGGAAAGGCACTCACTGGAAATGTACAAAATGCCTACTTYTGGTTTGTCCACTTTACTACAGAATGCTTCAGCACCTGCCAAAAAATCTGTGAGATTGTCAGGATCGTATCTGAAGAAGCAAATGTGTATTTTGTTTAGAGCTGGGCTCAAGCTAGAAAAAATTCCCCATACAACAGAACTTCCARCTAACAAATAAATAGCTATTTTCTACCAAGCATTAGAAAGGGGAGATTTCTATTCTGTCTTCAAGTGTACCTGTTCACTAGTACCTGTTCCCTGCTGCCTGGAATCTACGAGGTCTGCTTCCCTCTGTAGGCTGGCCCTCCACAGAATTTGGGCCAGTTTCAGAATATCATTATTCAATTTAAAAGCTTTATTTTCTAGTCATGCCTGGAACAGCTTATTTTCAGACAATGTTCTCTCCTGCCATCTACTTTACATTAGGAACAGTGTTCCTCCTAGGGTAAGTCTAACGACAGTAGAAGATATAGAAGACTTCTGAGCCCCTTGCAGAAACAGAGAAGAAGGATCACAGCATTCAAAGCCTTCAGGGTATAAGATGTTATTTTAGCTCTGCTATCCCAACAAGGTACTCAGCTTAAAGCATCAATGAAGAAAAGAGGAAAGCAGAAAAGGTCAGAATGGAGAGTGAAAAGAGGAAATAAGTCAGGTAAACCCTGTCTGGTGAAAAGAAAGAACGAATGTAGAATTGTGGCCTGTTGTAACATTAATTATTAATTAGTGAGGGAAGATCATATACTGTGGGAAAGGGTAGCAGAGATTGACAGATGAGATAGATARCATTGCTACACTCTGACCCCAAAGTCACAGAACTGTTCTGAGTTCCCTCATCTATAAAATGAGAACTGTTCCTATTTGCGTTTCAGGGTCCTTGGAACTATTAATCAGTGCATATTCTTAAGGCTTATTGAGACCACCAGTTAGAAATACAGAGTAACCTGTGTCTTCTGGGCTGTCTTTTCCATGGCTATATAATCTCTCCAATTAATTTAAAAATGAGATACTGTCATTTCAGAGTTTGTTGGAAAATAATCAGTTTTAAAAACCAGAAGAAACTGTTGTTGTGAAACATATCTAATTTTAAGGCAGAGGAGCACAGCTAAAGCCCTCCCTCCCCATCTCCACAAAGCACAATCAGGCTTCAGAGACTGCTCAGGCTACTTGTGTGACTGTTCTCTGGAAATAAAATACGCATTTTCTTTCGAAGGAAAGAGTTAATTTCTTTGCAAAAGATGAAAATGAGATGCCAACCTTGTGTCTTCTCTCCATACCATGTACTTTCCTGCAACCAAGAGGACTGTTTAATAGTTGCTGTTATAGGACAGGTCAACTATGGCCTTTTTTTCTGGAAAAGTTGCAATAGAGAAATGGAGAGATCTCAGCTCTGTAGGGGTAGGGGATGCAAAAAGAACTTTAGCCCTTTTTCTCTCTTGGTGTCTGCCTTTCCACAGTTATACAGGATGGGATTTGCATCAGCGATGAGGCTGTGAAGAGTGTGTGGGCATGGGCACTTATAGACAGGATTGCTTTAACATCATGTTCAGCGCTACCCACCACAACGCTCTTAACTGCAAGGAGAGTACAAGAGCTGATGACATGGTCTGGCCCTCATTAAACCAATGTCAGGAAAGGATTAATCATTTRATTGCCTTAATTAACATTAATCTCACAATAAATTACTAAATAAAACCAAAGACCTTTTCATCCTCAGATCAGGTTAATTGTAATCTTCACAATTACTCCCATTTTTATAACGTTTCCAAACCAGTTATAGTGTCAGTGACTACATACATTTACTGATTATTAGTTACTCATCAGCTGTTGCAGAGCTCCATAACTTCTCTTACCATGACCTCTTTCCAGGCAATCCTGGAGCATGAGCCTTCTTTTACTGATGATAATTTTCCAGCATCGTTCAAATATCTATTCTGAACAGCTTCTTATTCTTGCAGTTTCAGTGTGCAACATTCTTTCGTTTTGTCCTCTCTGCTCCATCTTGGAGCATATCAATGACATCCAGAGCCTCTGATCGCTGCCATCTCTTATGTCACCTGAAATATATAGATTTTTTTTCCCTTTTTTAGATTCTATTGCTTGCATCATTCCTCTGTGCTCCCACAATTGATATTCTCCACAGGAGAGTTCTTCAAACTGTTTGTTACAGCCCCCAACAATCTTCCAGTGGATCACAGGAGCTGTGAATTTTTAGACTCTTGAAGAAGCAATGAACTACTTTGATTTCCCGGCAGTCTACATCTGYAGCTGTTATATAAAGCTAGTTTTCACTTCTTTGCCTTGGAAGTGCTGAGCAGATGCTGTTTCCTCTGAGAAGTGGAAGGACTGAGTGGATAAAATCTCCTCTGAGATGCCCTCCTCCTTTTCCTCGCATAATTTGCTTGAAGATGAATGAATGTTCTTACAAATAATTTGAGTTTATATTGTCCAGAGGGTCTTGTTGTTAAGTAGTGCCAATCTTTACTCCCAAGAATGCTCATTTTTAATCTCCAGGTTCTCATCTAATCTCTATTTATTCCTCTTTCTCTTTTCTAAATTTTTCTTATCTTTCTTTCATTCTTTGTGTTTGCCTACTTTCGTGTCCTCAAGTTATGTGTGAGGTTGGCCATCCACCTCACTGCCTCACTTGATCTTTCATTCTAGATCAGCCCTTCCATCTGAATGCCTGCTTGTCCAGCCTTGTCACCTCGCACSATAATAAACCAACTGCTCCTTGTTACCACTTCTTTCATCTACTTAGGACTGGTTTCTTGAGGAAACAAAATGTCTATGATTACACTGTAMAAATGCATTTTAGCCTTTGGCAAAACTTGGGAGAGGAGTAAAGGATTTGAAGTGTCTTTTAAGTTTTATCAAAGAAGGTGGCCTTACACAAGGAAAGGAGTTTATTTTGTATTCATCTGAAAAGAAAGAATTCTGTTTGGGCATATTTTTACTAGAAAGCAGAAAATCCATGCAGAGAATTGAGGGACTCGATGTATTAGGTATTACAGAGGTTATATTCTTAGTCTGGGTTTCTCTTCTCTGTGGACTTTCCATGAGCAATATGTGACTTAGGTTTTCCCAGAGATGCAGCATTCCATTTTTTTTTTCCTGTGTGTATTCTTTGGAGTTCAATAAAAAGTGAACTTAGGGTATATCATTAATATTGTTATCAAAACAAATCAGTCCTAATGTGCAGCTCTAATAGAAAGAAGACTTAATGAACTAGATATTCCCAGAATTACTGGTTCTGGTTTCTAATGTATTGTTTAGGTAACAAATATTTTGGATAAGTCATCATGTCTGCAATTTTTTGACCACTATATTGTATTGGAACAGTAAACAATGGTTATAGTTAGAAAAATRTTTCCCATAGCTTTTAAGCATTTCTATCTGTTACATATGTTTTAGGAAGATTAGAGAAAATGTTTTCAGTTGCACTGCCTTTTGACAGTAGCAAGTTGAAGATTCCTTAACACATGMTTGGAATATTTCTGTCTTAACTTGGTGCTATGAAATTCTTAATACAGGCRTTTCTCAGGAATATAGAATTTACAAGTGTGAAACCTGGTAAGAAATAATGAGCAGATAGAAGTAATACACCAATTGAAATCAAAGCAGAAAATATCTAAATCATTTGAAAATACATGAATTACAGTTAAGTAGCTGTGCAGTGGCTAATGATGTGAAGTGGCTGTGGTCTATAGTAGAATSGACTTACCTTGCAGTGAATGGAGCCAGGTCCTACAAAAATGGCAGGAAATATTGCTGGAAATCACCAGAAAACATGTTAAAATAGAAAAATCTGACTTCTTGTAAAGATAATTTTTCACAAATATTCCTAGAGGACTCTTGATGAACGTGTGTAACTCACCCTATTTASTTTTATGTATATAGGAGCAGTGAGTACGTGTGAGATTTTCACAAACACACACACACACACATACACAAAAGTAAGCCCAAGGATATGAAAAAAAATGGAAATTGTACCTAGCTGGATTTAGTGGCAGTTAAATAATAATCTGAATAAAAATGGGAACATTTTTTGCATCCTGTGCAGTCTATTGTACACTCTGTGTCCCGGATGTAATTATTCATTTGCATCGGTGTGGAATGTCACAATTCTTATTTGGTAACATTTTGCACTGGGTTAAGTTATACCATGGTGGCAGGAGTTTGGTAAATACATTACTTCTTCCTATTTACTTTTTTTTTTTTTTTTTTTTGCCTCCCACAGATTATATTAAACATGTTTCGACCTGATCTGGTTCCAAATATGAATAGGTTTTCAGTAACAATGTCATATATCTTGGTTGAAGGAGTGAAGAAAATGAAGAAACAAAAATGTGTTAACTCCAGTGCACCGTTTTCATGCTTTAGCATTGTTCTGCTCCCTAGGTGTCATGTAAGTTATAAATTAACAATTTTGGCAGCACACGTATTTCTATATAACCTTCTTCATAGCAAAAGATTAGTTATTAATTTCAATTGTTATCTGTTCTCTGACTTTGCAAAAATTCTTGAACACCATAGAATTTCATGGACGGRTTTGCAGGGAAAAAGGCCTGACTAGATCTTAAGAGGGGAACAACAGTATAYTTTGAGTCAGTATTAACAAGTGGTTAATAAAAATCTTTTCAGTTATAACCAGTTTGTTTTTACAAACCTGTCCCCCRTTGTCAGCCCACGTCTTCAGTCATTAGTTTGCTTTTCCTTTGAAGATTCTTTCTGTAGGTAAAAACCTATATGAAATGAGTGATGTGGAAAATTAACCCACAACATATTAATTTTATGGAGCTCCTTGTAGATGACTGTGAGAGCTGAATCCCTAGGACTTTTCATTTTAGCCAGGAAACAAAAATAAAGATGATACCAGTTGAGTCACCAGTTAATGATCTGGGGGCTGGAGCGCCTCTCCTTTAAAGACAGGCTGAGAAAATTTGGGTTATTCACCCTGGAGAAGAGAAGGCTTCAGGGAGACCTTAGAGCACCTTCCAGYACCTAAAGGAGCCTACAAGAAAGCTGGAGAGAGACTATTAACTGAGGCATAAAGGGTCAGAACATGGGGTAGTGGCTTCAAACTGATAGAGGGTGGCTCTAGATATGAGGAAGAAATTCTTCACTGTGAGGRTGGTGAGACACTGTAACAGCTTTCCCAGAGAACCTGTGTATGTCCCATTCCTGAAAGTGTTCAAGGCCAGGTTGGATGGRGCTCTGAGCTGCCTGGTCTAGTGGACTCCCCAAGTGGGGTTGGGCCCACATGATCGTTAAGGTCCCTTCTAACACAAACCCTTCTACGATTCTATGAATCCAGCACTTCCTTGAGCAGCCCAGAAGAATCCCAAAGTGGCCATTACTGTCTTTCCATGCTGTTGCTAGCACTTAGACCACATATTGTTATCCTAGGAAAAAAAAATACGAGGAGGCTTATTTGAAATTGGTATAAAACTTGAAAGATTTAATTCAGACACAATTTGAACAGTTTGAAAGTTTAAGTTCCAGGGAGCTGCAATTGCACTGCAGCAGGTCTGGATCTGGATACACATTCCCTGCCAGGGGCTGTTGTACTGCTGGTGGTTCTCTGCCTCAGTGTGTGTCAGTTGCCTCTCCTACTTTATCAACTTTTGATGCCACTAAATTGCCAAATTGCCTCAATGCAGAAATGTAGCTGTGATTCTGGGATGTACGAGCTCCTTTATTTTTCTTCACTATATTCATATGGTGTATGTTGTTATCATCCCTTTGGGCTGCTGAGACAATGACTGAATTTAGACCTTCAACAACAGCAGCTTCAGTACCATTATTAAAAATGAGATTGTCTTTGCTACAGTCTACATTCATCACACACTGATGTCTTTGATCACATCCTCTCTATCCCAGCCAAACCTGTGTTACCCTTTGAAGACAGAGGTGCAAATTGAACTCACTGCTTCTGATGTAAAAAGTTACTTTAGTTTGAGTGCTCTTCTGTCCCCTAAGTTTGAAGTCTTTTCCAGTCCACAGCTGAGCAGTGCTAGCCTGTATATTCTTCTCTACATTTCTTATTCATTGTTTACCATGTTTAATTAATATCCAGCAGTACAAAATGCAGCAAATACAAGCTGTATAGAAAGCATTTAACCAATTAAATGTGGTCATTCATCTCTTCCTGAAGAAAAATAGTCAGATGTTTTGATAAACTACTCAYACAGCAGCAGGAAACATAATATTGTTAGTTGGTGTCTTTTCCATATGTATTTCTTCTCTGATTATGCCAGAAACAGCTGTGTTWAGAAACCTTTAACCTTAGGAAATGTAAAATTCTTAATTTACCTAAAATAGGAAATCATCATTTTCTGTAAACAAATGCTATGAAAGAAGTGTCTTTTCTAGGTGTATTCTGAAGGAATCAAGGAACTTATGCCCTGAAAATTTTTCAGATGTTTGAAAACACTCCAAACTTTACTGTCTATTACTATCTATCTGCTACTTATAAGGGACCTTTTCTGTTGGCTGTTAAGCACATATGAATAAAGTTTTTTTATGTGTAAATAAAAATTTGCAATTTTTTCCTCAAGGTCAAATTTATATCATATGCAAACAGAAAACATTCAAAAAACCCTCCATGAAATTGTATGTTTGTATTAAATATATGTACTGTATCAAATATTGTCTATTATATCCTGTATATAACTGAAAAAATAGATTAATAATAATTTATTAGATTTCATTAAAATCTGGGCTATTCCCTTCAGATAAATGTGTCTTTTCAATTAAATGTTCTATGGTGAAAGTATAGAGCATGAGTCTCATAAGAATGGCACATGGAAGAGTGATGATGTCTCTTCACAAGTCACCACATCATCATGCACACATCATCTCCTGCTGAACACAGTAGTTTATCTTGAAGAGATAAATTCAGCATAATTGCAGGAAGACAGATTTATGTTTGACATCAGGAAAAGCTTCCTAGCCCTTAAGATTACCACACCTTCCTAAGTGCAGTGCCACAAGGCAGGYTGTCTTGTGAGATTGTGGAGTCATGGAGGATTTCTGAGGTGCTAGAGGGAAATWGCTAACACAAATAGTTTAATTCTGTTCTGGAGTAGGGAGATACATTCCTGTGATTCCAGTCATGATTGTCTCCCTGTGTCCAGAACAGCATGATTCAACATTGGCTCAAAGATTGAAAAAATTAAAGCATTTGACATCCATGAGAAAATTAGAYTTTTCTCTTTTAGGCATAAATGAAAATGTCAGCTGTGAGAATGTCCAATTTGTCTTCGAGGCAACACTTGCAGATAAGAAAAATAATGGACTTTCTAGATTACTCCACCTTGCCTATAGATCCTTTCATGGAGGAGGGGAAGAAATCTCCACATAGGTCTGGCTTCAGACAAAGTACCTCTGCTTCACTGGTAGCCAAGGAGTGCTACAGAGCTGATGTGTTGGCCCTGCATACAGGTCTGTAGGTGAAAACTGTTATTTCTTTTGATGAAAACAATCTGTTGAAAGGAAAACTTCCTAATGTCAGCTTGTGGGCTTTCTTCTCATCTTCACTGCATTTCTGCAAGAGTAAATTGGGTCCTATGTCAGCAAAAACATACAAAACTTTAATTGTTTCCCCAGATAACCTTAACTTGTGCTTACATAGTATTTCGTGTTGCTGTGTATGCTGCTTACTTTAGTTATTTAATAGTGTCCTCTGTAGTATTTTAACCTCTCTGCTCAGGACAGAGGTGTTGAGGATAGAACAATTTTTAATTTACTGTCTTCTTTTTTGCATAAACTTAGAGCCTCATTCATCATATCAGCRTCTGCATTTATACCCTTTTCATTGAATACTGCCTCATCCTCTGAAAATACCTCTTAATGCAAGGGATGATATTCATACACACTGATTTGTCAAGCATGACATTGCCATCAAAAAACTTTTCCAAAGTGTTTGCTATTAACAACAGACTTGAAATATTTAAACTGAACCAGTGAGCAATTTAAAGCATTTTCAAAAAACTTTGAAAGTTAGAAGCATCTGGGTAGAAAAGTTTAGAAAGTTTTTTTCAACTATCACTTTTAGGTTGCTATAGCAATGTTATAATAAGGTCTTATTAATAGAAAACTACYTTAATATACCTTGAAGACTCTGTAGAAATGTGTGCAATATTTTTTTAATGTCAATGCTGGAAGATATTAGTCCTGTGGTTTTGCGTTGCTTCAAGCCAGGATGGAGCATCCTGATTTTATCTAACTGTTTCACTTTATTTAAATGAATTTATTATCTAAGTCTCATAGATAATGGAAAACCCTAGTTCTATCTTCAGTTCTTATTTGCATGCACCAACTACATACCCTTATRTACCCAGCTCTTCTGCGTACAGTGTCTCCTAAAAAGTTTTGTTGCATTCAGTGGTGTCTGGCTGTCATCCCCTTGTTAGAATGATAACTGTAAAATGATCCTCTATGYTGGATGCTCTTTTCTTCTTTTTCATTCTTATTCCTCTCAGTGCACCAGTGGCTACAAAACGCCCTGGAACTGAGTGGAAACAAACCATCAAACACAACAGTATTCTGCTAACTTTGGGTGAAGGATCTGTTGGGAGCTGGGGCTTGTAATTGTAGCATTTCCTATTCCTGTTACTGAACATAATAATGATTAACAGCAGGTAAGTTGTCACACTGCATGAGCAGTTAATGCATTTTTCATGCTCTTTACAAAAACCTTTTGAATGTCTACTRCTGCTTTGAGGTCATTTCCTTCAGCATGGAAATAAGGCCACTGTGACAAGAAAAACAGCCTGTGCCAAGCTCTTAGAAAGAGTTAACTCCATCATCCACAACACTTTTATTCACAGGAACTATTGCAATCATGATTTTTATTGATGTGGATATTAGATTAGAATATTTTGTGAGCCAGGATGCTTTTTCAAGATTTTCATTGCTTCCACTGCTTCATACTTAGTGAAAGGTATAAGAGGGTATAGCAAAARAAAGAAAAAGTAGGAAAAATAACAAGAACTGTTGATGTCTTGACTCACTGATTTATCCAGATTCATAAAGCTCTTTGGTAAAGGGAAATACTTTTTTCTTTTTGTACTGGAAACAGGACATCAGATTGTAGTGTTGATGACAGTCATTGAGTCTACTTATTATTTTAAAGGTTAATAAGTACAGTAAGGTAAATGTCTTTAATTTTGCCTTGCACGATTTTACACATTAACCAGAAGATATTTAAATCTCTTCTGTAGGATAGGCCACCTTTTCAGGAATGTCCTTCTAATTCATCAGACTTCTTAAAAGTGCCATGTTTTTAATTTTTTAGTAGAATCACTCTGCTACTTTTCTTAGCTTTTTTTTCAAAAAGAAGCTGTCATTTAGTTTTACTTTTTCTCCTTCTGGAACACTTTCACATGGTTTCTGAAGGTGATAATCACACACTACAAAAAAAGCAGTGCTTATATGTAAAACAATTGATTTCATTTTCATGGCTTCCAAATTAAAATTCAAAATAATCATTATAGCTTGTCATTAAAGTTGATTGATGATGATGAAGATCATTAAGATGATGTGTCTTTGTAACCAAGGACTGACAGGGGAATGAAGGAAGGATTTCTGGTGATTTTTTATATTCTTTAGATTTACCTTAAGAGCTTTCTACAAATTAAGCATTCCTGGATTATTAGTAGGTTCTGATTCAGATAAAATTTCTTGTTCTCAGAGAATTGCTTTGTTTTTTGTTTTTTTTTAATCATTGTTCAAATWTTTTTTCTGCAATTTCTTTATTCAATCTTGGCAATTTCTCTCTARCAGATTGACCTTTTCCATAAAGATGCTGATTCTGTCTTCACTTGCAGAAAGTACACTATTTAGGCTATGGAGCCTAAATTATTTCAGCTTGCATTGAAGTTAATTTTCTGTTGAGTTTTCTGTGTTTTTTGGAGTTTTATTCTACTGCCTTGTGTGGAAGAAGATTTTTCTTTTTTTTTTCATGAAGCATTTTTAATGATACAGCTTTCTTCAAGAAATTAAGTAGCATTTCAGATTGTTTCTTTTTTTAAATCCAAAGGCTACTCAGTATATTCAACACCATCTTTTCCTTATTTTTGGGAAACTGAAATACTTCTATATGACTTCTTTTCGGTGAAATTCTTACGATTGTTGCTAAAAAACAGGTCTTTATTATTGACTTAAGCAACAAACACTATAGTGTATTTACTTCCACATATTTGTCTAGTCCTTGGATATGCAGTTTCTGAATATTTACTAAAATTTAAGAAGATACAAATATTCATATGGACATCCATATGAAAAGTGTCTTTTTTTTATTATTTGATTTCTGTTTTATTTGGACATTCTAATTCATCCTCCAAGAATGGAAGTTTTGGCTGGTGAGCTAAATGATCATGCAATGAACAGTCTATATGAGTGATTTGCAAACATTGCAGAACATTGTGGCATGCTTACATAAGAGCATAACTGTATGCCTACAAATAGAAAARCATGTTCACAAATGGTTCCTGAGCACCAAACTTCTAGTAAATCTTGTTTGCAATGTGTAATTTGACCTGATATACACGAAATCAAATTTCAGTTGATGTTGCTTAACCTTTTTGTCAGATTCAACTTTACAGCTTCCTGTAATGACAGCAAAATGGATTTTAGTTTAGACCTCAASCTTCAGAAACTCTTTCCATTTTAAYTGGAAGTCTGTTCTGTGTACCTCCATCCTACATGTGCTTCTCTCACAGTGTATGTAATTCCTATCCTTTAATATTGTTGACTTGTTCCATGTTATTTCAGAATCCTCTCAGTTTGCATTCCCAGCCATCACACATCCATGTCCTCCAGCTGATTATGTGCAAGGACCTAACACAGCCAAAACTGCACGCTTGGCCTGTGCAATAGTGTGAAGTCTGTGTAGGACAGCTTTGTCCCTGCTGCTGGTATGACAGCTGCAGTTGCTCTCCAATGCAGCACAGAAATGTTCTGATGCCATGGAGCCACCAGGACCCACACAGGATCCTCGCTCAAGGGAGGGGAATTTTCTGCATCTGCTTCTCCCTCCCTGTTAAAAGTTGATTACGTGGACAGCCTGGGACAAGCAGAATGCAAAGCAATTTTTCCCCCAGCCTCTGAAATCTAGATTTGTGATTGCATTTCCAGGCCAAATTTGCCAAGGAAAACTGAATCAYGTAACTGGCCACTTTCAAAAGTCAATTTTCAGCTGGTCTACAGCTGTCTTTTTAGGTAGTTTAACTTTAAAAATTTAGAAATATTTCTGTAATTGGGAAACAAAACTTCAGGGAGCTATCTGGAAGGAAATGGAGTTTTGCAATGATTGATAAAGCACCCTTATGTACTATAAAATGACTGCACTTATTATGCCAAAATTAATAAGAAATTAAATCTTTATTAGAATTATTGTAATAATTTAAATATTTATGTTTTAAACATTGATCCTTGCATTTGTTTTGTGGTGCATATATACCCATATTTCCAGGTATGCTCTGTTTAAATGAATGTTGATTGAACAACATGCCTATTCTGTGGCATTTTTTTCTTAAACGAAAAAGGCAAACCTGGAAACTCCCTWCCCTTTGAAGCAAGTGCATCTCACCCAAGGGAAAGAACGCACTTGCTTCCTCTTACACTCAGTTACTCTGTGGGTGCCAGAAGGCAAAAAAGGAGGGAAGAGAAGGTGAGAAATGTTCCCTTAAAAAATAGCAATTTAAATATTAATTATATTAAAAAATTTAAATCATATTTCTGGCAATAACTACATAGGGTCTGGTGCTTAAAAGGGGCATGGTGTGGCAATGAGATTTGAGAAACTATGTCTCTACTTCCTCTCCTCTTCATTGTCCTCCTCTGTACTTCTTCCTAGTGAACATTCTTAAGAGGAGAACAAAAATCTTTTAGTTAGCTGTCTTGCTCCTTCTGAAGGGAACTTGGTATTGTGTACATAAATGCATGGCTAAAAGGAATTGCTCTAATGCATCCCAGCCTATCAATGGGAAAAACGCAACCCTGATACACAATTATTATGCAGAAGTATCTGTTTGAAACCTTGGCTATGTTCACCATATCTCAGCATCAGCTGGCAATATTCATATCAAAATCTAGAGGATAATAAGTTAAAAATAATCAATAGTCATTTATCATTTAATTTATTACTATTTCCTCAAATTCTAGAAGAGTGCTTGATATAATCAGCTGAAGATACATCATGATAATTTAATACATTAATAGTTAGAGGCTTCAATTGAAGCTCTAGCTCCTTTCAGGGCTTGATTATACATCTGTAAAATATTTCTTTCCAGCTACATTAATTGGTAATTTGGCAGAAAATAATACAGCAAATTAACTTCTAATAATCATCTTTTACTAAATGTGTTTCTATCTTCTTGAGTATAGAAAGACAGAATATTGAACTGCATTTCCCCTGGTGCACAGTGGGGACTT